AAATTTATCATTTTGTTCTCCAATTTCAGACACTCTGTCTTCATATTGGTCATTTTTGCAATTTTTGAATTCTATACAGTTTTTAAATTTCAGGTATTTCTGCTTGACATCTTTTTTGAAGATTCTATATTCTTTTTGAATTTGTCATTCATATTTTGAATGATTTTAGTCAGGTTGTCCAATTTTTATTAATTTCCCCTTAAATCACCTGGGGCACATTGAATGATAAAGCCCTGAATTTTTTATTTATTTCCTCTTTGAGCTCATCTAGTTTCTTCATTTCTTCTACTAACTTTTTGTTGAGTTCCACTGCCTGGCATTTGCTGTCCTCTCCATTTATGCCCCCTCACTCTGTCTCAGCAGAGTTGGGAGACCTTGGGGGTCTTCTGTTGCCTTGCTTCCCCACGATCCTGTGTGTATGTGTACCCATTTTTTTATTGATTATGATTATCATTCCCTGTAATTCCAGATACTGGTGTAGAAAGAAAACCAGTTGTTATCTACTATTATGGTGCCTTGGCTATAGAAGTAAATTTAGTGGCAACAGTGGCATCACATGACAACTTGGTATTACTAAACCCTGGGAGCCACACCTGGATATACCTTCACCAGGACTAAGAAGAGTATGATTTTCATGCAGACAGACCACCTTCAGATTAGCCTAGAATATTCTGCTGAGTGTGGGCACCCATAGCAGAGGTCAAAGATACCACTAGACTACCTTTTTTTGCAGAACCACTCCTTGTGATGATTTCACCCTCCAAGCCTGGCCTCCTCAACAGAATACAGGCCCTGTGAACTTTCTGCTTTGATCCCAGGTCTCCCAAGGGATCCCAGGAGATCCCTACTTAGGTCTCCCCATTCCAACCCAAGGATTCTCTCACTGGGTCTGTGTAGAAGGTAACACCTCAGTCCTGAAGTGAAACTCCCTTCTGGGTGTTGGTCTCTTATTTAGTCAGGTAGGTGAGTTAGTTTTCACCTCTGTTGCCCTATGATGAGGAGACCCCAGGAGCAGATGGGGGTCTGCTACACCTTAGATTTTTAAGATGTATTATTTTAGAAAGGTTGATGTGCTGAGGTAGAGTGCATGCTTAGCATGTTCAGTGTGCTTGAGGTGTGGGTACATAAATTTTAAATATATATATATATGGAATGGTATAGAATAACTGGCAACAGATATTGGGAAAGCTGGGAAACCAGGGAACAGGTGAGTTCCTGGAAATTATAGCAAAATTCTATTTGATATGGATATGTATGTGGGGAAGAGAAATGGGATCCATAGTTTTCATCAGATAAAACCCATTGTTTCTTTCTGTTTTCTTTTAGAACTGGCTAAGGAGTGAAGGGAGTGAAGGAGGATGGGAGGCGAAGGAGGAAGGTGAGTAAAGAGTCCTTCTACCTTTATAGGCCTCTCCTGCCCAGGACCCCCTGCTTCTCCCCCACCTCTCATCATTCTTTTTTTCTCTGTAACCCATATACAGTGCTTGAAATTTCTGCGGATTCAACAATAAGGCAGAACAAGAGTTAACTCCTAGAATACGAATAAGAAACAGTATCCAGCAATATTAGGAAAAATATGATGTCTTCCTTTTTTGCTGGAAATGGATCCCAGGGCCTCACACATGTGAGGTGAACGCTCTATCACTGAGCTACACCTCCAGCTCTCTTGTTTCTTGAATTAACATTTTTGAAAGCATGCTTATTTTCCCCATGTATTTGTTTTTAACTTCCATCTCTAAAATTTTTTAAAAGTTTGAAGCAGAACATAAACCCATAATTCAATGACAAGTCTCAAACATTTTTCTAACAATGGGACAATTTGAATGGAGAATTACCTTCCTTACAGCATTTAAAATATAAGTATCCCTCTTAAAAGTTCCAGTCTCAAGAGCTACTTGTTTACCTATTTTTAGTGTTGGGATAGTGAGTGAAAATTACATGCAAGATTGCACAGGGAGAAATTAAATGATTAAAGTTATTTAATTAATCACATTTTTTTCTGATGAGGACAAAGCTGAAGTTCCTTGCTAGTAACTTGACCAGCATCTCTCAGGTGATTCAGGACCAGAATTCAAATCCAAGTGTGGCTGATCCCAAAGTCTTTACTCTTTCACTTGGATTTTTTGACTCTATCCAGGCTGCTTTACAATCACTACTCAAAAAGAAAAATAAAAAATACTCTGTAGGCCAGGTGCAGTGTTGCAGCACTTGCCTAGCATGTGTGAGGCCTGAGTTTCTTCTCCAGCTGTACGAACAACAACAACAAGGATCTCCATCCTCCACTCTGTGCCCTTGTGCAGAGGGACAGATTTAGCTGCTTCTGGAAGAAAGCAGGTGCTGATATGGTGCATTGCAAAGGACCCTTCCTCTCCAGCAGTTTTTAGGTTGACAGGTAATGAGCTACACAAAAGGCCTATGTGATGGGAGATGAAATAAAGCCATTTTCTTGAGACTGCCATGTGCTGTAGTAGAAAATATGGGAAAAAAATCTGCGCTTTGAAAAACAGTTTGATTTGGGGTCTGAGATATTTCAACCATCACAGAAAGTGTTATCCTGACCTTTTACCACTTTAAGTTCTCTGCAAACTTCACATGACAACTGGATGAGGACAAAAGCCCACCCAGATGCCCCAGAGAGAGTCTGAGTAAGATCTCAGATGACCATGTTGGGAGCACCCAGGCCAGGACCTAGCCTAAGTTTGATACTAAACAAATATTAGTTCTTCTTTTCTTTCCTCAAGGGAAGCAAGGCTTAGCATTTTGAAAGCTGTTGGTTTGAACTCCATGGACTTGTCAAGTGTGCTGTATGTAGGGACGCTGCAGACTATGGAAAAGAAGCCGGAGAAAAGCTCTACAACCAGCACTAGAATCTGACCTGGAAGGCTCAACTAATCAGAATTCAGTTGGCACCAAATTTATTAAGAAAAGAGGAAAATTACAAGAAACCTTGCTGATGACAAAGATGTCTAAATGCACATGAAAATGTCCAAGGAGCAGGGACAGGGAAATGATTCCCCTGGCTCTGACATCTGACCTCTGGTCCTGCCTGGTGGTCACTGTACTCAGAAGGACAAAGTTATCAAAGCTGAGGAGTCAGAAAAAAAAAAAGAATTCTATTTTTTCTAATCTGCACTTAGGAAGATAGGAGTGGGAATTCACATTGTAGAGTTTCTAATATGGTTAAGGTCTGATTACCCAGAGAATGCTGCAAAGCTACATATGCTGCTCTGCTCCGGAGCTGCAGCATTGCCGCTATCTCTGGAGATACGCAGTTACTCTTAGAGGGCAGAAGGTCTACCAAGCACCGCCACTCCCTCACTGCCTTTCCTCACCTCTCCCTCAGAAAGGGAGCTAGGGAGTCAGGAACTGTGGCAGCTCAGCCAGCACTGCATGAAGTCCTCCATGTTTGCCCTTCTTGCTGGCCTTGGTCTCTGATGCCTGGAGTGGCAAGTATGGTTTTGATTTCACAGGAGACACACGTGGATTGCAGCAGGCTTCTGATAACTTAAGGTCGGGTTGGTAGAGCTAACAGCTCTTTGTTTTCCACAATCCTTTGCCAACAAAAAAGAGCCCACATGTGTATTTTTTAACCATGCGGGCTGGCAAGGGCCAGGAGCTCCATCACCTGGGTTTGTGCCTCTGGTCCTGTGTTTTCATGCCTCTCGTTCAAGGTAGGTTTTATTTCTGCTTATCTCCCATGACATCTTTAGCCCTGTGCATTTGCTCTTTGTGTCTCACTGAGCAACCTGAGCATCCAGGTCAGTGTGTAAGAGTCTGTGTGGGAAGGGTAGCTGCCAGGCTGTTGGCGAAGCTGGGTTTCATCTGTGAGGTTTAACAAGTCAGACAAGAGTTTGGGGTCGAGGGGTGGAAAGGACCCAAAACATGCCCTAAATCATAGTATTCCACCTAAGGTTTGCAATTACAAAATCATATTACAGTGTGATTATTATGATAGCAAACGTGATGTTTTATGTTTAAATATTTTCTTTCCTGCTCCAATCTGTGTTTTACATCCATTTCTTCTCTCTGCCTCTCTCCCTCTTTCTTCCTCTCTCTTTAATACTAGGTGTCAAATCAGTGTTGTTCTAACACTGAGCTACTTTCCCAAGCCCCTTCAATTTATCTATTAATTATTATTATTATTATTATTATTATTATTATTTTGCAGTAGTGGGGACTGAGCCTTTGCACTGAGCTACATTCCCATTTTTATTTTAAATGTTTTCTTTTCTTTTTTTCTTTTTCTTTTGGAAGTTAGGGTTTGCTAAATTGTCCAGGCTTGGTTTGAACTTGTGGCAGCTCTTCATTTAGCAATGTAACACTTATCTTGTTCATTTTTGCCTGAGCTTTTTTTTTCCTTTCGAGGTACCAATGTGTTTGAGTAATACATGGAGTAATGTTTCAGGTGTCGGATTTGAATTCTCTAAGGGGGAATGTAGAAAATGTATTTAAGCGGGGTATTAATGAAAAGAATTATGTCAGCGAAAGCGAGTGATTTACCTTTTATGCTATTGGAAATAGACGACACGATTGTCTAGAATTTAGTGACTGAAAATATTATTTAAGAACCAATTTTGAATTATTTTTAAAAGATTTTAAAGTAGATTTTCTTTTAAAAACTTTTCAGCCTCATAAATCTTCAAAATGATTCGATTTCGAACTTCACTTTAAAAAGCAGCCTGGCTTGGCAGCCCTGACCCCATACGACCCGGGTCTCCCTGCGCGGCGGCACAGGGTGGGGGAGAGCAGGGCGCTGTCCTTCGCCCGGAGAGCCAGCGGCAGGCTCCCTGGGTCAGTTACAGGTACTTTCAGCGATAATTCCAAACCTTGGCGTGGAAAGGTTTAAAAACTTCTCTTGACATTACCCTCTTTGATTTAGCTTCAGTTCTGAGTCGCAGACAGAATTTTCTTTTTTTTCTTTCTTTTCTTTTTTTGTACCGAGCAGTGAACTCGGGACCTTGCGCTTGCGAGGCAGGCAGCGGCACCACTGAGCTAAATCCCCTGCAATTGTTTCTATCTTAATAGTAAAAGGGAAGAACCGAGAGTCAAGGAGGAGAGGGAACCAGACCTGCAGGAGAGCCGAGAGCGTGCGGGGTCGGTGTGAGGAGCCAGGTGGCAAAAGAGCGTTCGTCTGGGAGCAGGTTCGGGAGCGCGCGTCGGAGCTGGACCCTGGCCCTGCCTGCTCGCTGCGCTCACTCTCGCCCTGGCCCGCAGGCGGCGCTGGCTGCGTTTCCGAGGAGCGGCTCTTCCGCATGTTGTTTTGCCGCTACAATCGGTTCATCCGGCCCGCGAAGAACGTGTCCGACCCCGTCACCGTGCACTTCGAGCTGGCCATCACGTGGGCGCGGACCCGGAGCCGGCGCGTCTCCACGGTCCCGGCTGTCAAGCGTGTGCACATGGCGAACACGGTAACTGCACAAGCACACATGCGCACACTGCCGCCCGGCCGAGCCTCCGCGGAGTGCGTGTTGTCGTCCTGTCCTGCCAGACCGGGGGCTCTATCCAAAGGGCTGAGACCGAAGTTGAAAGCAGGCCCAGCAACTCCGTAAAAAGATAGTTCCACTAAGTCTTCTACATTATCCAAGGAGAAAATCTGCTTTCTTTCATACATGGCTTCACCCAGCTCTGAAGAAAAAAAAAAAAAAAACAGAAGCCAGAAATTTGAAGAGTGAATCTCTATACTAGGGATTGAACTCCAGGCCTTCGCACTGAGCTGCATTCCTAGCCTTTTAAATTTTGAGACAGAATCTGCAAAGTTGTTAATTTCCCCAGGTTGGGCTTGAATTTGGGATCCCCCTGTTTCGGCTTCTCAGAGTGCTGGGACTACAAGTGTGAGCCAGCATGAAGATATTTTTTTAATAGGTTACAACCATGTTCCGGGACGAGTAGGGCTGAAATATAACTCGCAACCTGTTAGATGTCAGATACGCCTAGTCTGTGTCCCCCTGAAATCGAAGAAGGAATTCTAAGGAACAGTGGAGGTTAAGAGTAGGAAAGATTTATTGAGAGATAGCTCCTGAGAGACAGGAAGGGACCCAAAAGTGTGTTGCCACCAAGGTCATTTTCTCTAAGAATGTTTTATAGAGCAAATCACGGGGTGGGCACAAAATCATGACGTAAGTACAACGTGGGTCAAACTGTGATCAACAAATAGGATTATAAGTATAGCCTAGCTAATATTGATTCAGTAGGTAAGCTGGACATGTAGCAAGGGTGCATGGAAAGAACAAAGGCATTTTTGGGAAAAGATGGGTCCTATGTTCTGGTCACCCAGCTGGGCAACTCATAACTATCTGGACTCCCTGAACCAGGTGGTACCAATTACATTATAATTCTGTTACTGTTTATGCATTAGGGAGGCATGCAGGTCTGGTTCTTGCATCTCTATTTTGAGGCCTGGTCTTCTTCAGATGGGCCTCCACCCCCGATTCTGATGTCTTTCTTTTTCTTTTTTTTTCTTTTCTTGTTTTTTTTTGGGAGGGAGTATGTAGAAAGTGGTTTTATTATAGGGATGGCAGTGTTGGCTCAGCATTGGAAGATCCACCCCCAAAAGTCATCATTTTAACAGAGGAAAGGAAAAAGCCATATGATTCTGTCACTAG